ATTAAAATACATAAAATACTTGGAAAAATATCACATCTCCTTAAGTCAAGTTTCTTCTATTCTTTGGTTTTTGTTTAGTTCTTTGAGAGAGGGCCTCCCTGTAGTCCCAGCTGGCCTGGAACTCTATGTAGACCAGGATAGCTTCGAGATCCACAGAGATCCACCTGCCTCTGCCTCCTGAATAATGGTATTAAAGGCATGCACCACCACGCCAAACTAAGTTTTTTCTATTCCTGAGCTAAATTAGTCTTTCACCTACAGGTGTGAAAGACCAAAACAGAACTCAGGAAGTATACTCCTCATTTCATCCTGGCCTTTTAACTTACTGTGCTTATAAAATAGGGTTACCTCTTCAGAGGGGGTAATATTAGAGTAGCAAAGAACCCCATTAAAAAAAATAAATAAATAGAAGAAGAAAGAGTACATGAAGTCAAAGGAAGGAAGGAAGGAAGGAAGGAAGGAAGGAAGGAAGGAAGGAAGGTTGTCAAAAAAGTGATGGGAGATATGTAAGGTGTTGGAGGGGAGGGAGTAAGCGTGGATTTGATCAAAACACATTATATGCATGTATGGAATTCTCAATAAGGTTTTTTTTTTTAAGTTAAAAAAATATGTTAAACAACCACTGGGCATGGTGGCATACACCTTTAATCCAAGCACTTGGGAAACACAGGCAGGTGGATCTCTATGAGTTCAAGGCCAGCCTAGTCTACATAGTAAGTTCCAAGTCAGCTGGCGCTACAGAGAGACCCTGTCTCAAAAAGAGCAAAATCAAATTAATTAATTAATTTAAAAAAATATGTTAAACAATGGACCTGGAGAGATGGCTCAGTGGTTAAGAGCAATGGTTGCTCTTGCAGAGGACCCGGGTTCAATTCCCAGCACTCACATGGCAGCTAACAACCATCTGTAACTTCAGTTCCATGAGAATCTACCCTTCATCTTACCTCCGCAGGCACTGCATAACACGGGTGCACTTACACACATGCAGGTAATACACTCATACACACAAAATAAAAATAATAAAATATTTTTTAAATGTTAAACAAAAAGCAAAAGCTTTCAAAAGTATATTTGAGCATTTAAAAACTGACTTTTTGAGCCTATACTGCACTGTAAGTAAACACAGGTGCCTGTTAATAAGAGGAAAAATTAGAAACCCTTTGTTTTTCCTTTCCTGAAGGTATCTTTAATTGGCCTCTTCTAACATGGCACAATATATATTATGTGTTTTGGTTCCCAGGTTGTTTACAGTAACAAAATAGTCTTTTCTCTGAAAAGACCTCAGGAGAGATCCACCTTGTTTTTCTACGGTTCCCAGAAGGATGGCAGTCATATGGCATTAGTTAACCATGTAACAGTCGAATATAAATTATTTGTGAACACTGGTAGAGTCTAAAGTAAACAGAAATGACATCCACAAATTTAGTCAGAAGGAATATTCAACAGGAATATTTGTCAACTGAAAATTGTGAAGCTCTGCCACAAAAATATATCCAACCTCATGAAGACTGAAAGGCAGGTGTTTACAGTGCAGATCTTGCTGTAAGCAAGTCACAGTTCATGGTCACTTCCCTCCAACTTCCATTTTGGAATTCTGTCTAGTCTATGTCTAAGATTTTATAAAGGGGGCTGGAGAGATGGTTCTACACTTATGCGCACTGGCTGTTCTTGCAGAGGACCCAGGTTCAGTTCCTAGCACCCACATGGCGGCTAACAATTGTTTATAACTCTAATTCCAGGGGATTCGACACCCTCTTCTGACCTCTGTAGGCACTGTACAACACAGGCACACTTACATACATTCAGACAATACACTCATACACATAAAAATAATAATATTTTTAAAAAGAAATAGATGAGCATACAGAATCAGAGCATATTTTACCCTATTATCATAAAATAATAGAAGATTTAAGTAACTTTACTTACTAGAAAGTTATTTGCCCAAATTCCACTAATGTTTAAACAAATAAAAAGCCTTTTAAAGAGAGAGCAAGCGGGGGGGGCGGGGAGGAAGACTTATGCAATAGCTAATTTGGTAGCATAATTGCACTCAGTTTCGTATTTTTACTTTGTCACAGGGTGAGTACCTCAGAGCTGTAGTAGCAATTTTAGTAATGTGGCGTAAGGAATTAAAACATATATTAACCAGGAGTGGTAGCGCACTCCTTTTAATCCCAGCACTCAGGGGGCAGAGGCAGGCAGATCACTGTGAGACAGAGGCCAGTATGATCTACATAATGAGTTCCAGGCCAGCTGGAGTTACAAGAGACTGTTCCAGGCACTGTCTTAAAAAGGGGGGGAAGGGGGTACTGGAGAGATGGCTCAACCACATGATAGCTAACAACCATCCATAACTCCAGTTCCAGGGGATCTGTGGGCATTGTACAGCACAGGTGCAACTACACACATGCAGGCAATATACTCATACACATAAAATTAAAAATACTAATAAATAAAATATTTTAAAAGGAAGGAAGGAAGGAAGGAAGGAAGGAAG